TTGCCTTTGGGAGGGAGGGAGGTGGGGGTGGACTTGCCCGCAGAGCCCGTCCCTAGCTGTGAACAGCAAATTCGCGCATTATTCTTCTCGCTTCGCCATTAGGTGCAGGAGATATATGCCGACCGCGCGGCGTTGCTGCCTCGCACCACCCGCGCGTCCCCTCCCGCGCCTCCCCTCGACGCGGCCTCCGGACGCCCTCGCTGCGAGCGCACGCTCCCGCTCTCCCGCCCGACGCCGCTGCCAGCCGCGCTGATCCGCTGCCGCCCTCTGCGCGCAGAAACCATGCTTTCCACCGTTGCTCTGGCTGTCCTCGACTCCGTCCAGGCCTTCTCGGCCCCGGCGATGCGCGCGCCGGCGCGCTCGTCCGCCGTGACCATGTTCTCGGAGGGCGACATCGGCGTCCTGCCGCCGCTGGGCGTGTACGACCCGCTCGGCCTGATTGAGACCCGCAACATGTACCGCTACGAGTGCATGGAGGTCAAGCACGGCCGCGCGGCCATGCTCGGCTTCCTCCACATCATCCTGATCCAGGCCGGCGCGCGCTTCCCCGGCTACCTCTCCCCCACCGCCGGCCTCAAGTTCGCGGACGTGCCGTCGGGCTGCTTTGCGTCGCTCGAGGCGCTCCCGACCGCGGGCTGGCTCCAGATCATGCTCACCACGTGCATGATGGAGACGGGCTACTTCATCTTCGAGTACCAGGGCTACGGCGCCCTCGACAAGGAGCCGGGTGACATTGGCGGCGAGGGGTGGATCCGCTACGACGACGCGTCCACCAAGACCTTCAAGCTCAACGTCGAGCGCCAGAACGGCCGCGCGGCCATGCTGGGCGTGACCGGCTGCCTGGTGCACGAGCTGCTCGGCGTCAACGCGCTCTACCCGACCGGCGGCCTCGGTGGCGAGGCGCCGCCGGCCATCTTCTAGATATGCCCGCGGCAGGGTTATGGCTAGGAGCGCAGCTGCAGGGGATGGCGGCGGGCGGCCGAGTCGGCCTCTCGCTCTCCATGCGCCGATTCGTGCGCACGTGAGTGTGAATTTTTCAAACTGAAAATGTAAGAAGATCACAGCGAGCAAGCGAACCCAACGTCCAACGATAACGCGTTAATAGCAAAAGGAAAGGTCAGGAATTCCCTATCGCTATCCTAAAAAAAAAAAAAACGACGAAACGGGGCCATGTCCGACTCCGAGGCTTCCATGCCGGGCCTGGAGCCGTTCCACGTGCGTCAGATCCGGATGGTCGAGCGCGTCCTCGGCCAGAAGGTGTCGCCACGCGACCACGCGATGATTGATTGTCTCGCGGAGCGCATGGAGAGGTACGGTTGGCACTCCGTCAGCATCAACCCGGTGCCGCTTGGGTATCAGTACATCATCCAGGCCAAGTCTGAGAAGAGGCGGGAGGATGAGGCCAGGCAGCGGGCCGCGCAGGACGCTGCGCAGCCTCAGCCTACCGCCACTTTCGCCGCACCGCCCGTGGCACCGCCTGCCGCCGCTGCCGCTCCGGCCGCAGCATCGCAGGCACACTCGCAGCACCAACAGGCGCAGCAACCCCGGCCCAACGAGTCGCCCGAGGGGTGGACGAGGGTCGGGAAGGGCGGCAAGCCGGACAGGTTCACCATGAAGAACTTCGGCCGCAACCCGCCAAAGTCGGGCAAGCGGAAGCAGGAACACCGCAAGCCCGCACCCAAGGGAGGTGGACCCCCACCCCCTTCTCCCAAGGTGGTGGACAAGAACAGGCTGAGCGCATTGGGCGCTGGCCCTTCTGGCACCAGCGGGAGCCACGAGCGCGCACCGCCGCGCTCTCCCTCCCCCACCTCGCCGCCTGCCAAATCGCCGCGGCCGTCTGCGCCTGCTTCCGGGTATGACTCCGAGCTCGAATTTTCCGACGCTGAGGCGCGGGATAGGGTGGCAGGGGTTGTGCACGACGCAGTGCAGCAGGCTGTGATGCAATATGGCTATGACGACGAGCTCTACCAGGCATGGAGGGACGGCAAGATAGGCGAAAAGGACTTGCCGGAGGAGGTGATGGCTATGACTTTGGACCTTTGCGAGAGGTGGCGAGCGGAGCAAGCGCGGTGTAGGCGCGCCCACGCGGCGCAGCGGCTCTCCCGCGACCATAGCCCCTCCCGCAGCCGCAGCCGTAGCCGCAGCCCCAACTCTTGCTGCTCTTCTAGTGTCGGGTAGTGACCAGGGGGTCGAGGGGACGGATTGAAGATCCCTCACACCAAGATCGTGCAGGGCGGGGACACATGTCCCTAAATCCCATCTCGTCTCAGAGTTTGACCGTTTTTATTTATTTATTTATCGCTATCCTTTCCGTGAGCAAGACCCAGAGCAGATTTCTTGCTAGGAATTCTTCCAATCCGGGTCGTGCTGCGGCGCCAGCACATTGTGAGCGCGCGACCAGCCGCTCAGCCCGTAAAAAAAGAGAGAGATCTTCAAAATAAAATATTCTTACCTTCAAGCCCCCCTCCGAGACTAGGGACAGAACCACACCAGTATAGACCAGAGGGACTGCGCCTCGCCCCCACTTGCCCTGACTGCACAGGATAGCGTGCCCCGAAGACGGCGACACATAGCGGGGGACACGCTGCGCAAGGAGGGGGTGCGAAGCCAAGGTTGGGGTTCTGGGTGGTGGGACCAATGAGGGGGGGAGGGCGGGGTCCTGTGGGGGTGAAATGTTGCGCGGCGAATTCGAGCCTACCCCCTCGCCGCGCCGATCCTCACGCGGAGGGTAAAACCCTGTGGGACAAAACCCCTCCGCGGTCGGCTGTCTTCAGAGTGGACCCCCCCCCTCCCCAGCCTCCCCTGTTCGTCTTTCGCACCCTCCCCCCGCTCCCCATCGGTGACTCGCGAAGGACACGGACACTCGGGGTGGGGGGGGAGGGGTCCCCCAGAGAGGGGGCTTTGGGGCCTTGTTGAGGCATGTTGTGCGAGTATATGGGACAAAAGCGTCGAAAATGTCCCAAAAAGCGTGTCTCGAGTTTGTTGCAGCCCCACAGCTGGCGCGCGCTGCAAGGAAGCACCGCTCGCGTGTCGGCCGCACTCCCTGGCACCCAGGGAGTGCGGCCGACCGACCAGATCGATTAGGCTCGACGCCGCGCTCGCTGTGGAGCTGCCACAAACTCGCCGCCGAGCGTGCCACCGACGGCGTCCCGTCGGAGGTGATGGAGTGTGAGACCTGAGGCTGCGGAGGTGACGCCTGAGGTACCGGCCCGTGCACAGCGACTCAGCCGGCGACCGCCACGGGCTCAGACGAGACTTGTCGACTCGTTACGGCTCAGCTTCACCGTGGTCATCGGGCGTCTGTCGACGTCAGGACCACCCATACAGCTCGCGGGTTTGAGGTCGCAAGAGCCAAGATGGTGGCGTTTGGACATCCCAACCATCACACAAGACAGCCTGTAGGTGATGGCGGGACGGCGCAGTGTTTGTGGCACTCGGCAGTAGGCACCCGCGGCACGGCCCCGCTGTCGGCTCTCACGGGCTGCGGAACCGGCCCCAGAGGGAGCCGGTCCGGGCGAGTGTGGCAGCTCCTGCGCTAGTATGGGCACCCTCTATCATAGCACTACTGATCCTGGTCATTAGAGCTGCCAGGGATAGCGTCAGGAGCCGGTAGGAGTCAAAACCTCTCATATTTGAGACATCGTGTCCCATATACTCGCACAACGAGCCTTGAGTCTATCTCCCCCCCAGAGGGGCCTCGTTGGGTCGATCTCTGGCCGATCTCGTGTCAATCTCGTGTCGATCTCGGGTCGATCTCGGGTCGATCTCGGGTCGATCTCGGGTCAATCTCGGGTCGATCTCGGTTCGATCCCGGGTCCATCTCGGGTCGATCTCGGGTCACGTCGTGCGGCGTAATGAGGCGAGATGAGGTGAGATGAGGCGAGATGAGGCGAGATGAGGCGAGATGAGGCGAGATGAGGCGAGATGAGGCGAGATGAGGCGAGATGAGGCGAGATGAGGCGAGGCGAGGCGAGATTAGACGAGATGGGGCGAGATTAGGCGAGATGGAGCGGGATATCGCGAGGTGCAGCCAGCTCCTGCCTGGATGGAGTCAGGATAGTGCCTGGGAAGATTCTGATTGGTGCCTGAAGGGGGCTAGGTATGCCTGGAAGGAGCCAGGTTGATGCCTTGAGGCCTTGAGGGAGTCGGCTTGAGGCCTTGAGGGATCCATATCTGGATCCCTCACGGCCTCAAGCCGACTCTCTGGTTCTTCTGGTTCCTCTCGGCGACGCCCAATGCGTGCGCCGGCGTGGGGAGTGTGCGTGCGCGCGCGTGTGTGAGATGAGGATTGTGGCAGGCTGGCTGCTGCTGATGTGGGCAAGTGTGCTCTGTGTGCGGCGCTGCGCTGGCGTGCGATGCGCGCGTGCTGTGCGCGTGTGCGTGTTGGAATCGCGCGTGCGTCTGCGTGTGCTGCGCGCGCGCCGGCGTGTGCTGTGCGCTGTGCTCTGTTGTGCGCCTGTTTGTGCAGCTGGGAGGCGCAGCTTTGGCTGGCAGGGCTGCGCGGTGGGCTGCGGCGTGCTGCGGGTGGTCGCGCGCCTGCCTGATGGTGTACGGCGGCCGCGCAGCCCGCCCGACCGGGTCGTCGGCGGCCCAGGGCGCGAGCATGCGGTCGGCGCTGCATGTGAGGCTGCTGCGCGGCGCGGTCCGACGTCGGTTGGTCTTCGGCGTGGCGAGGGCGGGCGCGCAGAGAGGCCTTGCCGCCATCGCGTTGCCGCGAAGGAAAAAGAATTTCCGAGCCAGATCTTCATCGTGAAGTTGTCATAATGTCATTCCCGCCCAGCGGCCTGCTCTTGGAGTGCGGCACCCGCCCCCCTCGTGCAGCAAACGACGCCGACCCGTCCTCGAAGTCGCACACAAACCCTCCAATCGGCACCAGGCCGTTGGCAACCATCGCCAGGTAGAGCACCACCAGCTTCGCCGGGATGGGGCGATGGCAATCAGGGATGGTGGGTGGGGAAGCAAGACAGGCCGTGTGGGGTGTGGGTGTCACGAGGACAGACGTCCACGAAGACGGTGGACGGACGCAAACTCCTTATCCAATTCACACTCACGGCTGTCCTACTGGTCATATAGAAAGTCGGCCGTCCGCGAGCCCCCAGCTCGCCGACGGCGAGAGAGATGCCACGAGGGGTCGCGGTGGCGTCCATCGCCAGGCTCCCTAGCTCAACCGACGACCCTTCGGGATCGACGGCCGATCGTCATGAGCCTGTCGAGGACTGGGGCTCCAGGGGGTGGTTTTATTGCGCGTGCGAGAGTGGTCAGTGGAGACGAGCTAAATAAATAAATAAATAAAACGTACACCTCTAGGAGATGGGTAAAAAGGAATAGGTCCCCGCCCTGCGGTCTTTGTGCAGGGTTCTTTGTGGGTGTGGTCGGCGACTAGCCGGGGTCGTCCTCCCGATGCGCGATGGGGGACTAGCACTAGCCGTCTTCCACATGGTCCCCCGGGTCCCTGCTGCTCCTAATCTCGTCGTACATCCTCCTGCTGATCTCCGCAACATCCTGCTCCCTCCCTCTCGCCCTGCGCGTCTGCTCCGCCTCCCCGTCGTCCGCCCTGCGTCGTCTGGTGACGGGTCCTCCATAGTCGGTTGAGGTCGCCGCCCTCCTCGTGCCTCTTCCCAACGTTCCCTCGGCGGCCGATGCCGTCTGCTCCGGCTCCCCAGTCCCCGGTTCTGCCCTGCTCTCGTCTGCGCTAGCTTCTGTTTCGTCATCACTGATGCCCGTCCTCTTCTTTCTCCTCTTGTTGTATGCTTTGTACATCGCGTCGATTCCTTTTCGCGTGAGCACCACCCTGAAGCCCGCCCAGCAGCTGAACCGCTCCCTAAGTCGAAGGAGCATCATCAGTCTCACCCACTTCGCTCGCTGCCCACTGTCTCCGCTCCCTCCCGTTTGGGCCGCCGTCGCGGCCCTCGTTCGTCCCACTGGCTGTTGGCCCGTCCCCACGTTACCTCTGTTATCCCTCCTCCTCCGCGACTCCCTCAAGGCTGGCCGGGCCTCCTTCCACCCAGCGAAGAGCTTCCTCAGCCACTCAATGTGTTCCTCTCTCTTCATTATGCGCGCGGTAGCCTCATCGTTGAACTGGATCCACCTCTGCACCGCTCCCGTCGCCGCCTCGGCCACGACTTGCAAGTTCCTCGTGACCCCGGCGCCAAGGTCCCTCCGGCTCTTCTCCGAGAGGTCATCTACCAGTGCTGGCAACACCCCCCCGACTGCTGGAGACGAGCTAGTCTGATGTCTGAGAGATTTTTATTAACCAACAAGAAATCACGACTCTCACAGTGATTTGGGCTCGACAGCTTGTCAGCCCTCAGCCGAAGCTGGGGCCGGTCCCGTAGCCGAGAGAGCCCGCGCCGATGAGTTCGACGCGGTCGGGGGGGCCTGCGGAGAGGCCAGCGAGAAGGCGATCGCTGTACTTCATGGTGTCATCAAGTAACGGGCTGACAAGCCAGAGGTCGATACTCTGGACGACCCATAGGATGCCACGAATGCCTGAAGGAGAGGGAGGCGAGGCCAGAGGCAGGCTCAGCTGCTCTTGGGTGATCCCGCTTTGGTGGCTGAAGGACCCGATGGTCCTGTCACATTCGTGTTCCGAGTCGTAAGGGGTAGAAGAATTCGAGGTAGAATCGAGTCAGCACTTCCTCGACCCTCCCGTCGTGCCGCAGCCTCCGACGAGCTCTGCAACCGAGGAGAGTGAGGGTGCGCCTCCCCTCACTGCTGGCCTGGCTGCGCCCCGCCCCACAAAGCACCCCCTCGAGCATCTCTACAAGAAAAGTACAAGGTCTCTTGCCCGCAACCCGATGCCAATCATCCGGCCCGCTGGGTGCGCTTCTTAGCTCCCCGGCCCTGGATGTGCGGTTAATGACTGCACTCCAAGTGCTCCAAGTCAAAGCGCGACCTTCTCCAAGTCGTCAACGCGCCCGGCGGCTCCGGCAAGACTTTAGCCTTGGCCACCCTCCTTGCGGAGCAGGAGGAGATCCGCTCTCTGTCGGCAACGTGGCAGCTAGTCGAGGGACTCGGTAGTTGTGACCCCCCTCTGTGCTCTGAGTGGGGACAGGAGAGAGAGAGCGTTTTGTGGTGTTGGTGTACGCAATAACGGGACAGGGTAGTCGTTCTCTCTAGCTCCCCTTCTAGCTCTTGGCATGAGCTGCGCCCTGCCGACCCCTTTTGCGCAGCAACACCTTAAACTTTTAGGCCCTCCAAATTCGGGTCGGAGCGTAGCGGAGTGGGCCCCGAGTTTGAAAAGGGCGACGGACGCTTGCGTCCTAGCCTCCAACAACGCCTCCCCGGCGCAGAGGGGCCCCCGGAGGGATGCTCAACCGCTCCTTCCACGCCGCTTGCGGCGGTCCTACTCGAGTACCCTTGGAGCACTTGGAGTGCGGTCATTAACCTCACGTCCAGGACCGGGGAGCTAAGAAGCGCACCCAGTTGGCCGGACGCTCGGCATCGGGTTACGGGCAAGAGAGCCCTAGCCCCGGGGGTGCGCGGTCGCAGGGCCATAACACGTCTCCGAGGGATGGTTCCGTGTACCGGGTTACCCCTTAACTGCAGAACGCGCCCTCTTCCTCGACCGTGGGGGGGTGCGCGGTCGCAGGGCCAACACGGGTACCCGGGTGTCTAGAGTCTATTCCCAGCTCCAGCTGAGGCTCGCGCGCGCGTTCTCGAGTTTCTGACGCCCGACACGACCGGGCCCTCGCCGCCGACTCACACTACACATATGGAGGCGTCCCAGAGCAGCGAGGCCAACACCTCCCTCCTGCTCCGCGAGGCCACCACCTCCATCTCTGCGCCCGCCGAGCTCGCCGTGATCCGGCTGCTCCAGGGCTCGGCACGCTCGCCCGAGGACCTGCTCTTCACGGCGCATGACCTGCTGCGCCTCGGGCTGCTGACGGGCGACACGGTCCGGGCGCTCTGCCTGTCGCTCGGCCTGTCGGACGAGCCGCTCGCGGCGATGCTCGGCAGCCACGCGGCGGCGGGCGCCGACCCAAAGCACACGGCACTCATCGCCGCGCCGTCGGTGCTCGGCGGGATGGCGAAGCAGGCCGTGGCGGCGGCGGCGGCGGCGGTGGGCGGCGGCGGTCCGGTGGCGGGCCTCGCCTCGCTCGGGCTCCAGTCGCGGCTCGCGAGCGAGTTTGTGCTGCTCCGCAAGCTCGGCCACGGCGCGATGGGCTCTGTGTTTCTCGCGCGGCACCGGCTCGACGGCGCGCAGTACGCGGTCAAGATCGTTCCCTTCTTCGCGAGGCCGAGCCAGCCGGCGCATGCGCTCGCGCAGGAGGCGGAGCGCGTGCTGCGCGAGGTGCAGGCCCTCTCCCGCCTCAACCACCGGAACGTCTGCCGCTACTACAACGCCTGGGTAGAGACGGACTGGGCGTCGCTCGCAAAGGGCCCGCCGGCGGGGCCGCAGGGCGCGGCGACGGCGGTGGTGCCGCCGCACGCGGCCGCGCCCGTGCCGCTGCTCACCTACGGCGGCGCCGCCGGCGAGGCCGACCCGAGCCTGCAGAGCTGCGGCTGCAGCGGCTCGACCACCGACGGTTGGGGCGGTGACTCGAGCAGCGGGAGCGCGTGGGTCCGGGGCGGAGGCGCGAGCAGCTCGGGAGGGAGGGCGATCGGAGGGGGCGTGCTCGGATCGCCCGCGCCGGCGCTCTGGTCCTACCGCAAGGCGCTTCTCATCCAGATGGAGCTGTGCGCCCGCCCGCCGCCGCTCGCCTCGCCCCCGTCGAGACGCGTCGCGACCCGCCGTTGTGCCGCTGCACGTGCAGGTGCGAGCACTCGACGCTGCGCGACTACCTGGCGGCGCGCGACGCGGCGCCGCCGGCCCGCTCGGGCGACATCGACGCGGAG